TTGTACTTTTTTATTCCCCAATATACCACATCCAATTTTATTAAACCGTTGTTTGATGGGAGATTAAAATTAAATTTTTAATAAATTTTGATAGAAGTTGATGAAATATATAGTTAAAAAGTTGTAGGACTCATTAAATACGTGGTTAAACTGAATTATTGAGTTTGACTTAAATTAAAATCTAGATTTTAATTGTACAAAACAAGAGCTAAGCCATGTTTTGTGTGGATTCTTTGAATTTTTATTTTTTTTAAAACTCATTATCAATTGTACATTTTTCACATTAAGTAATTTTGCACATAGAATTATAATTTTTTTTCTTTGTAATCACATATGCTAACAAAATCACTTTTTACAAAATCTATTATAAAAAAATCTATATCAAACGGATAGTAACATTTTACTTTAGTTCAAACTGAAATTGAGTTTTGAAGACATTGATTTATTATAAAAGTGAATCTTTTTAGAGGTTCAGTAAATTTTCAATGCAAACCCACCTCGAATGGTCATATGCCACAAGTTTGGTCACTTGGCTTGAGTTTTGAACTATAAAGACGTTGGATCTACATTAAAAGTGCAATTTGAACTTTTGACTAACTTTTTTCGGTAGAGCCATCACGATTGATCTCACTAGCCACTCGTAACATGTTTGATTTTTACGATACGTATGTTTAAGCCTAAAAAGATAAGTAGAGACAAATTTGTAACATACACAATCGGTTAATGACTTGTGATGGGCTATTACCTAACTATACTTTATGTTAAGCACGTGTTGGTTTAGTTAAAAAAATTGATTAAAAATCAAGTGACGGGGTGCATTCAGCACCTGCTTTCAATAAAAATAAACTATGGCACTACTCAGCTGCATTGGGGGAAGGCACCTCTCCCTTGGCCTTGCCATAGTCCGGGCTGCTATCATGATAATGGGCGCTTCTCTAAGCTCAGACACACCTGGTAGCCTTGTGGAGCCAAGAAAAATTGAACAGGCCCGAAAATTTCTAGTCAAATCCGAGGATATGGACCCAAATCAGATGCTAGTATCGAAGATGAACTAGCTGAAATAGTCAAATCTAGTGAAAAGCGACCGCCATAAATCAAGAACCGTTTGTGACCATATTTGAGAAACAATATAGCCTCCTCATCATGTGATGTCCATTGTCATACCATTTTTGCAGCTAGTCACTGGAACTAATATCATTTCATTCTATGCCCTTGAGCTATTTGAGTCGATTTCGGAAGTGATTCGGCTTTGATCGGCGCCATAATTGTAGGATTGGTTAACCTTGGATCAATTCTTGTGTCTACTGGCATTATTAATGACTTTCATTTGTGTGGCACATTTTCCATATCCATCGTAATATCTAATAATGTGTAGTATCAGAAATTCTATTAGTATGTATCAATTTATTGATATTATACTAAAAATTCTTGTTTCTTGTTGTTCTTGAAGGTCTCGATTGCTTGTGTCCTAGCAATTGTAACTGGATATCTGGCTATCTGCAAACAAACATATATCGAAAGGAATAAACAACATTGATACTTGTTTTGATGTGTACTTATGCATCTGGTTTTGGTTGTCACGTGGGCCTGGAAGATGGACAGTTCGAAGTGAAATATTCCTGATGAAAATCTGAGCAACGAAACAAGGCATTAGTGTGGCGCTTGTTGGGTTTTGATACCCAATAAATTTTAGGCAATGATGACAAATCGAAATTATTTAGTTGGTATCGATTAAATGACTGAATTGAAATATTAACACCTCAATGGAACGACCCAAACCTAGAACTATTCGGACCATTGGAGGTAGCCTAATTCAGTTAGAGCTACTCGTGGCACATTTCCCCACTTCTTGGATATCTTATAAGTGTTGGCCTATGTATTGATTTGGACTTGTCCTTTTCCTCTCTATACATAATGTACCTTATATATGTGCTGCCTATTTTTGTGATGTTTACGTGTGTTATACCTTTCCTCAAAAAAGAGAGAAATCGATTGCTTCTTCCAATGTCTCTTTTATTCGGAAACCATAGCAACCAAAGTGTGGGCAAATACTTGTGGTTTTTGGGTCGTTAATTGAGGTGGTTGATTTCAGTTAGATTGATAAATTGAGCCCGGATTCTACGAATCAAAGATCAATTCTGCTGCAGTGGTGAATTTGGCTTCTGATTTCATGCTTTCGCAGATATTCTTGACCATACTATGCCACTTTAAGTATGGAGCATTCCTGTTTTAAGCGAGTTAGCTTGCTGCAATGACCATTTTCGTCGTCCTTTTTATGCCAGAGCGAAAAGGGATTCCTTTGAACTCGATGCATCAAGTGTGGGAACAACACTGGTTTTGGTGCAGGTTTGTTTACAGACTTTGCCCCCTAGGTTTCCTTTTAGCAAGGAAAATCTATGCTTGATTTTTACTCAGATTCTAAAAGGAATTGGAAGTTGGATTTCACATGTCAGTTAAACTTTGGATAATTTGAACTTTGTACTAAACATAGCCCACACCACATGTTGATGCACCTTTGGTTTCAGAAACATAAATAAATAATAGCTCGCTAGTACAAATTGTGATGGGTTTTGATACGAATAAATTTCAGACGATAATGTTACTCGTTGAAAATTTTCAATCGACATTAACCAAATAAGTGAATTAATTATCAACACCCAAATGAAATGGTTCGACCTAAAAAAATATATGTTCTGTTATTTCCTATTATGCATCTGTTGCATCTTATACATAATTGGAATTTCAGTTTAGCATAACCATTTTGGGTTTGGTTGTTATTTGGCCACCGAGAAGCTAACTCAGTATTTGGAATGATGAACCTTCAGTTTTTTTTTTTTTTTGCAAGTACTTCATCTATGTGTAAATATTTTTCTTTAATCAGAACTTGCATTACACCGCTTGAGAGACTAAAGCTGGAGATAAACTTGAAACTGAAGGGCTATATTCATCAATTCATAACTTGGAGGATGACTTTGATAAGAACTCAAAGTTTGAGAAAACGTAAGAAGGTGAAAAACACGACTTATCATTTGTATAGCTGACTATTCTCTTCCCTTGCTCTCTGCAATGCTGTGTAACTTATTTTTTGATTCCTCCAGTTAGGCATTCCAGCATTTTAAGGATTTCCCATTTTGGATAATGGATTTTGAGAGGTCAGGTTGTACAACCCCTTTTGGATATTTTGCATTGTTATATTCATGTATTGTATGTATAGGTCATTGGTTATTTATAAACTAGTGGATTGTAATCATTATTTTTTGACAGATATCTATAGAAATTCTTGATTATTCATCAGCAAGCCTATCTTCTCGTTTTATTCTATTTTGGTATTAGAGTCATGGCTGACCCTTCTGAAACTCAGTTCCAAACTAACTCATCTTCACTATCAACAATTTCCTGAAAGCTCATATTCAATCAACTACACTAAACCTAACTCAAAACCTCTCTATTAAGTTGGATAGAGACAATTTTTTGTTGTGGAAAAACATGGTTATACCCATCATCAAAGGGCATAACCTTGCAGGTCATTTGCTTGGAACGAAGGTCTGTCCACCTGAGTTCTTCTCTATTCAAGAGACCATTGAATCAGGAACTACAACCAAGCAGCAAGAAAATCCAGAATACATCAAGTGGATTTTCAGTGATTCCCTTCTTATAATATGGCTTTATGTCTCAATGTCTTCTAATATAACCATGAGAGTCATGGGAAGCAGTACTTCTGCACAACTCTGGTCAGCTATCCAGCAAAGTTTTGGAGTGTTAAACAAATCGAGGCTAATTTTTCTTTCTGGAGAGTTACAAAGACTCAGGAAATGAGCAATGACTATGGACCAGTATCTTACTAAAGTGAAGAAACTGGCTGATAATCTGCAAGTTGCAGGTAAGGTAGTTAATGAAGAAGATCTAATCACTTGTTGACTGGACTCGATGAAGATTACACTCCAGTTGTGGTTCAGTTAAATGGAAAGGACCAGCTGAACTGGCATGAAATGACATCTATTCTCCTCACATTTGAAGCAAGACTGGACTACCTAAATGAAGTTAGAATTGGTGTGGGATCCATCAATCTCAGTCAAGG